TATATATATATATATCACTCCCTCAGACAGAAGTTATATTGTACATATTTATATGTACAAACAATGCGTTTATATCTCTCACTCTCTCAGACAGAAGTAATGTACAAAAAATGTATAATGGTGTGTGTATGTCTCACACTCTCTGTAACTGAAACTAAAATTGAATGTGCACTATGACTATGAATCTATTTTTAAAAAATGTATAAACAATGTCAACTTATCGCATTTATACACATCTCTCTCTCTCTCTCTCTCTCTCTCTCTCTTGGGCGCAGGCAACAACGTATCTTACAGTGCATAAATACAGAGAGGTCTTAATTTTTTTTCAAAAGGAAGCAAAAAATACAACAAATACATTTTCTAAACATCTCGCTCACGTCGTTGCTTTGACTTAAAATAATGTTGTATGTAGTTGTAATTTGGAACAGGCATGATTCATTCGAAAGGAATTTGTTTGACATACAAATAATCTGTGAGCGGATATAATGTTGATTATGTTTTTGCCATTGACATCGAGTAAAAGTCTTTATCAAAACTGCTGTAGTGTATTACTATTAGTACTATGCAGATTCTGACAACAGCGAGAGGTAGAATGAAACAGATGGATCAGAGCACACAAGAGCTCTTGCAAACCACCCGTAAGATCCTCATGAGGGTGAGAAACAATAGTAGCCTACAGTAGACAACAGATGAGTTGATATTGTCGGGGGAGTGGGAAAAAAAAGATCAACTCATCCTTAATTTTAGTTTAGTTAGGCCTAAGAGTGTTTTACGACGCCCGCAATTGCATAAGGTCATATCAGCTCATCCGAAGTTCAACTCAACCGCTGAGACATGAAAAAAAAGATCAACTTAACGGAAGGTCACCTCAAATGAGTTCAACACAATTAATGGAGTCGACTGAAACACAGAAAAAGAGAAGCATGAAATAATTACAAGCACAGAGGAAACTAAGAAACCTGAGCAGCCCCTTTAAACTTAAAACTGGAACATCTCTCTAGCAATCTTTTTAATAAAAAAAAAAAAACACCAAAAAAATGTGAACGGTCTGGAAACTCTACACCTAGGATAGGATACAGCCTACCCCTCATGTGTGTGTTACATTCAAAAGCAACGTAACAATAATAATAATAGTAG